TTTTTAATGGTGAGAATACTTAAGATTTACACTCAGCAAATTTCAAGTACAGTATACAACACAGTCTTATTAACTACAGTCACCATGCTGCACATATCTATAGAATTTATTCATCCTTCATAACTGAATCTTTTTTTTTTTTTTTCTTTTTGTCTTTTTTCGTGACCGGTAACGGGATCGCAACCCTCGGTGTCACGCCCGTACCGCGACCAGCAACGGGATCGCAACCCTCAGTGTCGTGCCCACACCGCGCTCAACCAGTGAGTGGACAGGTCTCTATATGGGATCCGAACCCTCGGCGGGAGCGCCGCCACGCTCCCAAGTGCCAGCACTCTACCGAGTGTGCCACCGGGCCGGCCCATAACTGAATCTTGTACTCTTTGACCAACATCTCCCTTTTATCTCTCCCTCCTCTTCCCGCTCCCCTCCATTCCCCAGTAACCACCATTCTACTGTTTGCATAAAATTAACTTACTTATTTATTTTTACTTTTTTATTTTTTTTGAAGCTGGTCAGTATGGGCATCCGATCCCTTGATGTTGGTTTTATAACACTGTGCTGTAAACAACTGATCTGACCAGCCAGTCAAATTTGACTATTTTAGATTACGTTTATGTGACATCATGCAGTATTTGTCTTTCTGTAGATGGCTTATTTCACTTAGCATAATGTCCTCCAGCTTTATCTATGTTGTTGCAAATGGCAGTATTTCCTTCTTTTTAAAGGCTGAATAATATTCCTACACACACGCACACACACACCCCACATTTTCTTCATGGAGAACAACATTTTAGACTCTCATGTCTTGGTCCTTCCTACACACGAACTCCAACTCCAACACAAGAATCACATTTCTTTAAGGGACTGTTAGGGATACGGATTGGACCATCCGAAAGCTGCATTTACACTACCAGCTTTATTCTACCCTTTTTAGGAAGGAATGTAAGGGCTTTAGAGGCTTGCTGTGAACAGAGAAAGTGCTTAATACACATGTGATTGATGCTGTTGATAACTGCCATGGGTAGATGAGAGAGGTGGCCTTTTAAGGGCCCCATCCTGAAATGTAAAAATGCCCAGGAATACACATTCTAATGAATCTTAAGGAGGCCACCAATACCTTCCCAGGGTCCTGCTCGTTTTTCTTACCCTGGGCCCCAAACGATGGAAATAATCCCAACCCAAGAAGTGACAAATTATCTAACAAGCTACTAAAAATCTAGGTAGTCACCAATCATTTCGTGTGAGGTATGAGGATGAAACAAGGGAGAACCCCAATGCCAACAATAGTACATTGCCACGAGGAAAAAAAGGACGTTCAAAACTTCTCCTGAAGCACAGCACGGAACATGTGAAAGAATCTTTCTCAGAAAGTCACAATATTACAGAAACAGTTCCTGAGTCACTGAATAGTGATTCAACAGAAGAGTAACAACACTACAGAGCAGTTTTTTAAATTAAATATTCGAAGGGGTAATATGTTCACATGGCTCAAATTCCAAAAGGTACACTAGGCTAAACCACAACCATCTGCCCTTCCTGCTCCCCAAGCCTCTGAAGTACATTTCTTCGTAGGCAATCACTGTGTTTGGTTCCTTGCATAGCATTCTAGAGACATTTCTAGCATATGTAAATGTAATAGGAAATTTAAATGGAGCTGAGCGCAAAGCAGCTGAGCTCAAAACTAATAAAAATTATACTCTGAAATGAGACACCAGACCCCGCCAACACAGGGCTTGCCAAAAAAGAGGTGGGAGAAAACTGGTGAAATTTTTCTTAAACCCCACACCCACACTGAGAGCATAAAAGGGCTGGGAGTTGATTAGAAGAACATTCTAAAAAATAAACTTTTAATTTTGAAATAATTTTAGAGTTATAGAAAAAATTGCAAAGATGGTACAGTCCCTGTGTATCCTTCATTCCCCTTCTCCTAAAGTTAGCATCTTACATAACCACAGTAATCTGTGCAAATTAAAATTTAACACTGGTACTATACTATAAACTAAACTACAGCTTTTATTTGGATTTCACCATTTTCCAGTAACATCCTTTTTCTGTTCCAGGATCCCATTCAGGATACCAGATTGTATTTAGTTTTCATGTCTCCTCTTTGGTTTGTGACAGTTTCTTAGCTTTTCCTTATTTCTCATGACCAGGACATATCCTTTTATTCTTTTTTGTTTTTATTTGATCTTGACATTTCTGAAGATTCACCG